TGAGTTTGTTCATACTGCTGCTGATTTAGCTGGCTTACCAGCAAACAGATCTATTTAATGCTCTAATATCAAATGCTGAACGTTTGCATAAGTTCGGTATAACATTTAACAAATAAAAGACTCTTTGAAATCTGTTGTATGGAAATACAATATAAGCTGCTTTGGTCTGACAGCATCTGTGAAGTGAAGATGATATTGTAGATTTCTCTGTATTTTTGTTTATGACTTTCAATAAGGATGTTTGGTTGATATTGTGCTTTATTACGGTCTGTCAGCTGTTTAGTGCACCAAACTTGCACTAAGGTAAGGTAGAGTTTGTATAATGCTATTATCTGTCTGACAGCAGAGTCCTTACACTAGATAGCGGGACACCCATAGGAACTTGAAGGGCCCATTCACTCCGTGAATAATGACTTTAATAATGTACATTGTATTTAACTCTCACTCTTTTCTCATTCGTCCATGTCTTTAACTTTTAGACAAATTCAGGAGGTTCAGTCTCAGATGGGACGACTGGAGACAACAGACCGACAGTCAGTCCACTGTAAGTGTGTGTGTGTGTGTGTGTGTGTGTGTGTGTGTGTGAGAGAGCGCGGGAGAGTGAATAAAGATTCTCAGTCCCACAGAGACGAGAGGATACAAATAGGACATATATTCCAAAACATAATGACAATTAGAGATTAGACAGTGGGGTTTATGAATATGAACGTCATCCAAATGCGGCTTCATTATTCCAGATTAGTAGTTTCTGCCTGAGCTTTACCATTTATGTTTCAAGCCCTTAATTGACCTATATGTATTAGATAAATGGCGAGCAGAATGGGAAGAGTGTCAAAATAACAAATGATTTGAAATAAATCCTGTGGTGGGAAAAATATGCATCTACCAGATACTTACAGTACACTCATGTATAGATATTTTATACAATGTATATATGTATATATACACACTATATAGCGATATATACTATATACAAAATCTGAATATCATCGCAGAATGTAAACTATTTAATCTCTTCAGTTCTAATTTGCTAAATGAGACTTTAAGGCATGAAGATATTAAGATATTTTAAACAGTAACATTGTGATTTTCTGTAAAGCTGCTTTGAAACGATTTGCATTGTGAAAAGTACTATCCAGAATAATTGATTTGACCTTTGAATGGACAGGAGGGCGGGACATGTGGAGTGTTGTGGTGTGTGTGTGTTTGAGGTGGTGTTGTGGCTCTGTGGTGAGTCTGAATAAGATAACCGTCTCCTACACATACTGATGACATCATAAGAGATGTCAGAGGCGGGAAGGATGCGTAACGTGTGCATACGTATGTCTGTGTGTGTGAGAGCCACTGTGAGATTGCATTGGGTCAGGGCAGACTGCGTGTGCGATAAAACTTTCCCACCATTTTGTGGTTCTCTCCAAGGAAGCTGCACTCATTCCCAATCAGCAGATCTGCATGTAAATGCTTGATTCTAACTCTGCCTGTTACTTATTTGAACTCATTGCAACTTAGTGCTACATTTTCATGCATTAATTATACATTAATGAAATACATGTGCTCATTTCCCCTTACTTTTTTACATTTAGATTACTTTTGCCGTGATCTAACACTCATAAAGTTAATATTTAATAACACTGTTAAATGTAAGCTTTTGCAAAAAAAGAAATCCATTTTTTATACTGTGTATTATAATGTTGTGATGCCTAAATTCACTTGTAGCAATTAAAATGGGTATTACAAAATATAAACATTGGTGCAGCCCTGATTTTAACTTTATATATGTATATATTAAAAAAGCCTATATATTTATAAGTATTTGTATGTACAAAGTCATTCAAAGGTTTGGTGTCTAAGATTTTTTTAAAGAAATCAAATTAGTTTTTTTCTGCAAGTATGCTTAATTTGATGTAAAGCTTAACTGTTTTCAACATAATAAGAAATGTTTCTTGAGCAGCAAATCAGCATGATTTCTGAAGGATCATGTGACACTGAAGACTGGAGTAATGATGCTGAAAATGCAGCTTTACCATCACAGGAATACATTAGATTTTAAAATGTATTCAAATAGAAAACAGTAGTTTTAAAATGTTGTAAATCACAATATTACTGTTTTCATGATCAAATAAATGCAGCCTTGATGAGCATAAGAGACTTCTTTCAAAACCATGAATAAATCTTACAGACCCCAAACTTGAATTTCAGTTTAAGTATTTTGTGATGTATTTGATATGATTCCTATTTGCGTACTTATGTTTCTGATGGTTGTGTTTTCCTGCAGTACTTGAGAATGAACTTCAAGCAAGAATCGATCAGATCTTTAATCAGCTGGAACGACTTGAGATACTAGCCAGTAAAGAGCCACCAAACCGCCGGCAAAATGCAAAACTGTGAGTGCATCAGTACAAATATCCACTAGTGCCTACTTGAATGATGTAAAGATCCAATCCTTGTCTTGATCTGAGGTTGGCTTCTGGAGAATAGCCAACTAGAGCAAAATATCCTTCCTGTCAGAAGATTCAATTAGAATCCAGTTTGATCTGTAATCATTAACCACCACACACAGTCCCGTATGTGAGTATGCGGAAGCTGGACTATAGTAGTGTTGGATAGATGGCTGCCTAAACGTTGTAGGTTCAAAGATCAGGAGATTCATAAGCTACTGTAGGCCTCTACCATGACATAACCCATAAGAACATGAGTTGCTCTGGGAGGATTGATCTTGTAGTAAATACATAATGTAAATAGTTTTGAATATGAAAGCCTCTGCCAAAGGAAGAATAATGTGAGGTGGTGAAGGTGAAGATTGTTTGTGTTGAATGCGCCCCGTGGCAGTAGGATCCAGTGAAAACATTCCGTCTGCAGTCACGTCATCACCAACATTCCTGCCGTGTGTGGCAAAGCCTGGCTAAAGCACTGCACAAACACACCTGAGGCCAACACACCTGTTACACTCACTCACTCACTCACAAAACACTGAATATAAAGAGCAGACTCTTCCTGAAGAGTGTCTGTATGACCGTGTGTGTGGATGACCTCAAACGCTCACGCTATACAGAAACAACAGAGGCTTTTCACATTCCAGGTTAGCGTTAATAAGTTAGTTAGACAGCCCTGAGGAACTTCCAGCACAGACGTTACGCTCGCGAGGCTCAGGAGAGAGAAAGAGAGGAGCTCTTGAGCCGAAGCTTCACAACAAACGTCAGTAGACCACACACACCTTCTTCTGCGTAGTTTCTGCCAAGACTCTTTCTCCATCACTCACAAGTCTATAAACGTACATCACACTACAAAGAAGGCATTTTGATTTCGACAGTGCTGTGTGCTTTTTATGTGTAGGATGCAGACACCTCCATCCCTATTGATGAAACCCTGCAGTTTAATAGCGGTCTACAAAACGCTCACAGAGGAATGGACGACCTGCTGGGCTCCGGCTCCAGCATCCTTAATGGCCTGAGAGACCAGAGGAGCACGCTTAAGGTGTGTGTGACGCTCACAACACAGGGCGGATTGAACTATAGACCAGGAAGGGGATTTTTTTTTTCCCATCCTCTTATCAGGGTGTTTCTAAACATTTCAAATAGTGCTTGACTGATTGTTGATAAAGCTGATATAGTAGTTTAATGATAGCCAAATGAAATGTAGACAGGATTAATTGACACAACAGATCTATACATTTTCAATTAAATTAACAGTATTTTTTTTTCATTAACTATATATTATTTCTGCTTTATATCTATTAAGGAAAACATTTAGGTTTTAGCTAACAATGACACCACTGGTTTGAGGTCATGTATGCACATATAGACACTGACTGTGTTTCCAGGGAGGAGTGTGTGGTCTTCCTGAAGCTCCTCTGATTATCACAGAGCGTGAGAGACTGTCTCTGCCTGTGCTTTTGGGGAAATGGGGGGGTGATGTGTACCTCAGATATATTACTGAGTGAATGAAAGCTTATCTGTTGCTCACTGCATTCAAAGGAAAAAAAGAATACTATTTAGAAAACTGTTTATTTAAAATCAGATTCGTTGTAACATTCCACACCTTCTGTTTTAGGGGACCCATAAGAAGATGTTGGATGTCGCAAACATGTTGGGTTTGTCGAACACGGTCATGCGTTTCATTGAGAAGCGAGCATCGCAGGACAAGTTCATCATGATGGCTGGAATGCTGGCTACTTGCTTTGTCATGTTCCTGGTGGTGAAATACCTTAGCTGAACTCTCCCAGCTTTAGCCGACCCTGCTGCTCGATCGCATCAGTGGATCATTCCGGTTTTCATGCCACATGCATCACATCTATGAAAAATGCACTGGTGTCCTGAAAGAAAATGCAGAATACTACAATCATACAGTTGTTACAAGATGCAAAAACAGCATCTCAATGTAAATTTTTCAGTGCAAGATTTCACAATTTCAATAACGGATGGGAACCTTCAAATACCAAAGTGTAACCTGTTACATAGTTTCAACAGCCTGTGACATTATAAAACTTTTGACATCAACATGTTTGATGTCTGTTCTATTCACTATTTTCGGATGATTTATATTGATTTACAACCAACCAGCAAAAATAGCTTAACACAATTGAGTGCCGAGTATGGCTTTTATTTGAATCATCTTGTTCATGTTTTGTGAACCCCTTTGATCAGACTATGGTGCAACTGTTTTTGATCATTGGTAAAATGATCAAATATTACAATATTTCAGCAAACCAATCATCAGTTTATCACAGCCTGGTTTTGAATAGCAGGCTGAAGTTTATCTTTGCATATTCATACAACAAGTTAATAAACTCTGCAACTTTCATGAATGCTTAGAACACAGAAAAACAAGTCTCCAAAAATGACTGTCAAGACCACCCATATCAACTGTAGCAAACCACGCTAAAAAGCCTACAACAAAGATCTTGATTATGGTTTCAGCCAGTGAGCTTCTGTGTGTGTGTGTGTATGTATGTATGCATGTATGCATGTATGCATGTATGTATGTATATATATATATATATATATATATATATATATATATATATAAACACATTAGACAAATGAACAAAAATAGATGACATACCATAGAAAATTAAACAATATGCCAGTGGCTTCCTAGTTGTAAGATCCATGTCTTGGACTATAAACCAACTCTTGCAACTCATACTCCTTGTGTGAATATATATATATATATATATATGTATATATGTGTGTATGTATGTATGTATGTATGTATGTATGTATGTATGATGTTACATATGTCGACCTTGCCAACCTAGCTCCTGGTTCAGGCCATTCAATTTCATTACAATCTCAAAAGGCAGCCAAGAAGATCTTATTCTGTCCTCAAATTTAAATGTACTCCTAAACAGCCCTGTTGAGGTCACCCTAAGGTAGCAGAGCACGTAGAGGACAGTGGGTCGCCAGATCGTGTCACCCAGTAGCTAAAACCTATTAGCTATTCATACTGCTGGGCCAGGCCCTCTCTTTAAGAGAAGACGGATTTTCAGGATCCATGGTTTGGAGGGTGCTGAAGGTCCTGCCCTGAGAAGATAGGGTGAAGAAGTGGGTGTAGCTGTAGGGCAGCCGCTGCCGCAGCAGTGGCTGGCCGAGGAGCAAAGAGAGTTGGGTAGAGGGCAGCATGTGGGAAGTGGTGTAGAGCAAAAGGAGTGTGATGGAGCGCCGAGGCCGGTATAATATGTATGGGTTGGCCTGAAAGGAAGGCAGTGTGGTGGGCGGGAATCAAGCCAGTGTGTCCTAAAGAGTGACCCAGTGAATGACCCAAAGAATGGCCTAATGGCGACAATGAGATAGGGGTTAGATGATGTTGAGGTATGTGGTGCACCTGGGCTAGCTGGGCATGGGCAGGGTGGGGATGATGTGGGTTATGGTGATGGAGTCCCATGGCAGTAGCAGCAGCATGATGTTGCAGGATGGCGTGCTGCACTGTGGTAATGGAGGTAGCAGAAGCTGCAGAAACTGTGGGTTGCTGAATGTGGATAGGCTGCAGTGCAGCTGGTGGTGGCGGTGGTGCAGGGGCAAGGCTGGCCACTGCTGCCAAGTTAGCTGCTGCTGCAGCAGCTGCAGCTGAGGGAAAGGTCTTCACCTGCTTGGCTAACAGTTGCTGTTGAATGTGCTGTTGAGCTGCTTGCTGCAACTTGCTGTATTTCTCCATTTCCTCTGGGGTAAAGGTGATTGGTTGACTTTCTAAAGGTGCAAGACCATCCTCTTCAGCTTCCATGCCCATTTCCCCATCCTCTATGTTGGGAGGGTAACCAGGGTAGGCGTGCATAGTAGGCTGCGGACCCATTTCAGGCCCCATTAAATGTCCGTCCAACATGGGATTATTGGGGTCTTGTCTCGGTTCACCTTGGTATTGTGATATCATTGCTGGATCCTGCTCATATTGTGGCTGAGACTCATGAAGGGCTGGAGGGTCTGAGGGTGAATGTCTGGTCACTTCAGACACTGCAGCATTTGATACAGCCTCCTCCAATTGCTGCTTTTGTTGTTGTTGAACTGGTGGCTGAGGTGGAGGTGGTGGTGGGGGAAACTCACGAATGGGTTCTATCAGGATAACTTCGTTACTATCTGAATTTTTTCCCTGCTCAGACTTTTTGCCCTCAGTTGAACGTGTAAGAGGAAGTAATGGTGGCTTCTTTCCTGCTTGGAGCTTGCCAAAAAGGGGCAACATACTTTTGTTTCCAAGGGCAGGGGGGAGTTTGGGCCCAAAGTATCCCTGTGGAGGATCCTTGATCTTGAGGCCTGTCTTGGTTCCAGTACCAGATTCATCCCCTCCTTTTTTAGATTGGATTTTCTCCAAGAGTTGTCGAGCTGTGAATGAATTTCGATGTTCTGCAGCCCCTCCTCCCACCTTTGAGGAAGCTCCCCCACTACCTCTTGTTCCTTGTGCCGATGAAGAGTTGTTTCGGGTTTGTGTGCGGGAAGAGGACCTTCTTGGAGACTGGGAATGGTAGATTCGTGACTGGTTGAAATTCCGCCGCCGCGTCGAGCTGTCAGATCGCCGGCTGTGACTGTGCCGATGTGGAGAGCCCTTGGTGTAGCTAGATGAACGACTAGCAGAGCTACGGCTGCGACTGTAGCTGCTGCGTCTGTAAGAACGAGCGCTGCTACTCCTACTACTACGACTGGAGCTGCGACTACTGCTCCGTTGGTGTCTCCGCCGATCATGCTTCCTGCGGCTGTGTGAGCGTGAACGGGAGTCCTCCTCTGAAGAAGATGAGGTGTAACGTCGCCTGTGAGATCGCCCACTATCACGCCTTTCATAGTCGGAGTCTGATGAAGGTCTTCTTGATCTGCGGCGACGGTTTTCATCACTGTAGTCACTATAACTGTCTGAGTAGCTATGGCGACTGTAAGCACTGCTCCCTGCTGAGGAACGTTCAGAGCTACTCGAGCAGGATCGACTGCGTGACTTTTGACCTCTATGACGTCTATGGTTGTGGTCTCCTCGACGAGACGACCTACTACGTGAACGCCCTGATCGTCCAGAATCGTCACTGCGATGTCCAGCGACGAGTGCACCACCGCACCTCGCTGCCGCTCGACCAGATCTACGTTGAGAGGATGATCTGCCATCCTCCTCGCTGTCACTACTTGGAGGTCGACCTCCACTTATGCTCTTTTGGGCTGAGGCAGAGCAAGAGGCGGCAGGTGTGTTGGTGTCAGGTTTAAGACGTTTAGTACCATTGTGATCCTCTGTAGAGCTAGGCTTTCCTGCACTGCTTTCCTCAACTCCAGACCACATTTTGTGGGAACGTTTTCTCTTTCCTCCTTCATGGGATGTGCTTATTCCCGATGACTGAGCGGTGGCTACTCCATCTTTGTCATCCTTGTCTTTTTCCTTACCGTCGCCTCCCTCTGCTTCGATGTCATCAGTGCTATGTGGTTTATTTTTGCTTTTCTTTCTTTTGCGTTTCTTTTTCTTTTTAGTTTTCTCTCCTGGAATCTCTTTTTCTAACTCCCCCTCCACTGCTGTTTTATCTTTATGTTTGGAACACTTGCTTGACTTCTTGTGTTTCTTTTTCTTTTTCTTAGACCCTGCAGACACATCTTCATTACTTTGTAATTTCTGCTCGTTGTTCTCACTCTCAGCACCCTCCTCTTTCAAGGATGGTTGTTCTTTTTGAACGGTACTGGGTCCTGCAATTGTTGTAGCAGTGCAAGTCTCTCCACTAGTGGCAGGAGCACTGTCTATGTTTTCATGCTTAGACCCCTCTCGTCCATCAGTGCTAACTGGCTTGGCAGGTTTGCGGTTTTTGCCTGCCCAGTTTCCTTTGTTTCTTGACAGTTTGAAGTCAAAGTAAAGAGGATTACAACTGTAGGAGAGGGATGGCTGTGCCTTAGTAAACTCCAACAACTCAGAAGGCCACTGCAAGGTGGTGCTTTCATCCTTACTTAGCACAGGAAAGAAAGGCCCAGATGGCATGCGGGGACCTGTGTCTGTAAGCTCGGACATTCCTTGCTTGGGATCAGCTTGTTGGGATGAGCTATCTACCACTGCTGTATCACCTAGCCCTGCCGGTGTACTACTTGATTCTTCCTCGGTCTTCAATTTAGCTGATGTGGGAGAAGGATTTGTGTTTTGTGTCAGTGCAGGTTCCTTCTCCACATCTTTTTCAGATGTGCAGCTACTGCCTTTGATATGTTTTTGCTCTCCGTCATTACCTGCTGGTGCCTTCTCATCTTTTGCTCCATCCACATCCTCCTCCTTGCTATCACACTGGTCTGAAGCCTTCATGAAAAGCAGAAACTGGAAATGCGGCTTGACCCGACAATGTGCAGGTGGTACATAATGGTAATATTGTGGCTCCTGTCCAGAGTAACCTTCCTCCTGTCTCATCATCATCTTCAGTTTGTTCAAAGTCGAGGCCAGGGCACCTC